ACCCAAAAACTCATAATTTCCCCGACTTCGGTCGGTAAATTCAATGTGCGATCTGAGAAATTTGAAATTATCGACCAATGTCGGGCAAAGATAATCTTTTTTATTTATTTATTAATAATTCTGACCGAAATTTTAAAGAAATGCAAAATTATCAAATAATTTTATTTCCGACCGAAATCGGTCTCTATTTTGAAAATAAATAAAAATAATTTACAATCGGTCGGTATATTTATTTTTTCAACAAACATTGTCAGTGGTCAAACTTTGGTTGAATTAGCCAACCAACTTCGGTCGGAAATTGCGACCGTCTTCGGTTGCTACACCTTAGCGACCACTATTTTTTCGACGAATTAAAATCGGTCGGGAATCGATTTTTCTATATTTTCGACCGATTTCGATCGATTTTTTTTTTGGATGATTTTTGGCAGTTTTCTAGTAGTAGCAAACCTATCAAACAAAGTTTCTTCGAGTCTAATTTCCAACTCTTTTGTCATTTGTATTATAGAAAATAATGAAAATAACAGGTCAATGGAGTAAAAAAAAAGAAAAGAGAGTAAAGATAGTTGTATGACAAATATAGAATGATTGAGCAGACAAGGCATTTTCAGAAATTTATTTTTAGGAAAGTAATTTTTTCCACACGGCTGCAAAGAGTTAGTAAGAAAGTCTATTCCCAGGATATAATGTCTACTGTGGAATCAAAGTTGTACACTTTGATCCAGAGGCAGACCTATGTGGTGAGGTGAGGGGTCACGTGACCCCGTTAGTTTCGGCAAAAACTTTGTATATATATATATATATATATATATTCCCAACTTTGCTGGGGACGTATGTTCGAGACCCCCTTGGCCCTTTAGCTTCTTTTTTTTCCTCCTTTCTATTTTTATTCTTTGAGTACAATATAATTTATATTTAATAGCAAATTGCTTTATCTTTTACTTTTATCTCTTTTTTTTAATTCAATTATAATTTAGTACTAATATATAATAGTTAACTTTATTAATATTTTAGTTCTTTGATTACAATATAATTTATATTTAATAGCAAATTATTATTTTTACTTTTATCTTTTTTTTTATTTCATTAATAGTTTAGTACTAATACACAATAGTCAACTTAATTAATTTTATTCATTCTCTTTCCATAGTACCCATTTTGCAGAGAAATCTCTGTTTCACATATATATTTTTTCTTCTTTAGAATTTTATCGCTAGTGATTAGCATACAGTGGTGCCCCCATCACGCTCAAATCTTGGGTCCGCCTCTGCTTTGATTTCTTCTACCACAAGAACTCAACCCAATAGGGAGGAAGAATTTGTATAAGCTGAGATTAACGAAGAAGGAATATCAACACTTTAAGAATGAAGAAATCTTTTTGATGAATAGGTGCAGATGGATGTTAATAAGAATAATTCTACTTTATGTCATTGTCTGCAAAGCCTATGTAGAGACTCCCAACGGAACTAACTATTTAAAAAAAAAAAAAAAAAAAAAAAAAAAAAAAAAAAAAAAAACCCTTTGGGATAGTGATTACAAACTCAAACAACACAACCTTTGTAAATGAAGAGGTACATCAGTTTTTCAATTATCTCAATATCTTATTAGTAAGTAGTATTTATATATTGTTTTATATATATGTATATAGCAATCCCCACTTATTGTGAAGTGTATCCTCTTGAAGCCACAATTGCAGAGGTAAATATGCCAAGTGTTCCTTTCCATAGCCAAGTAGAGTGATGCAACAAGTTTCGCCGAAGTGAGGGTTCTTCATCAATTGGCAATGGACGCACTTTTAAGGCTTCGCTTGTTGCTCGATACCTCAAGATATGTGGTTGTGACGTCTCATGCACCTTCTCAATCGGATATCGAGACCTTATGTCCTCCTTCATAAATCTGCAGAAGTTGTCTGATCGTGATTTTCGCATATGTCGCAGCTTGGGGAGTGCACGTTCCAGCACCATCAATCTTTTGTAATTTTGATGCTCCTGTGCCGAGGGCGCCGTGCTGATAAACTAATGGTGTAATTGAAAAGAAAAGAGAGAGAGAGAGAAAACCAATGCAATGTAAGCTGGAGTCAGTCTCGATAATCATCAGCATATGACAAAGAAAAAGTCAGCAAATTTGACATACAACACTAAAATCCAAGGAACCAAATTATAGAAGGCAAAACGTCACAACTTGAGGACTTCAAATTTCAAATAATGAGGTTGACTATAGAAGAGTTTGAACACTAAGTTATTGGAATAACCTGCATTGGTATTATGTGCTGGTGTGTGCCTCAAAATTAGTGTTCAAAAGAAGGTGTATGCCTCAAAACTAGTGTTCAAATGAAAAAAAGAATTGCTAATATCATACCTCAAAGTGGCGAGGGAGTGTGATCGCGCCTAACTATGCCTTATAAAAAGGACAAGCGGTCATTGCAAATATAATTCGAGTATTTAGCTTAGAGTCGAATCCCACAGGGAATTAACCTACCAATTACTTTTGTCAGACTCACTAAATTCTCCATAATCAACTTCCCAAATATTTTGAATAACACTTCGGGATATTTCTACTAATTATAACTGAATAAAATTAAGTAAACTAAGAGCTAACTATGACTGAGTTGTAAACAAATAAGAGAAGGATCTAAGGTTGTGATTTCCCCTATTGATGGAATCCCTTCCTTTTATGTTTCACATAGATTTTCCTAATCGTCTCTATCGATTATGAGTTACGACAATTTGCTAGACGCACTCTCCCGAGTTACGCTAGTTGGCTTTTATTACAGCTCACTTAGATCGCATTCAAGGTTTCGTTATCCCTAATCCCACCTTTAAACCCTCGGTTATTGATTTCTCATATACTTTGGGAGTGGTGTTGTTCAACAACTACCTAAATATGCACTCTCTCCCGAGTAATGCATATTAAATAGGCACAACTAATTGAAGATCCTATCAATTAACTACAACAAGAACGTAGTTGAACAAATAGAGATTAAATTGGGCAAACTATATTAACACAATAAGAAGTTCATCCTTCTACTGGTTCCATCAAAACCCTAGACTAAATAATTAGCTACTCATAATCGTGTTCATAATAACAACAACAAAATTCATCATGAATGATAAATACAAAAGGAAGAAAGGTAGAACTCGATATCGAATTATCCTCTTTGCCTCTTCTTGCCTTCAACAAAGATATAAAAACCTTGATAATGTCTTTTTGGGCGAGGTCGACCTCTTATAGGTTAAGTGGAATTACCCCCAAACTTCCAAGTTTACCCTTGAATTTCTGCGCTCCGGATTGACTAGCGCGGCCGCGCTCGAACCGTGCTAGTGGCCGCGCATATTGCATAATATATTGTCCCGTGTTCCTGCTCTAGCGCTAGAGAGATTCAGCATTTTTTCACTTCTTTTCTTTCTTCTTTCACATGTACTCAGCTCCGAGGGGCTTCCTTTGCTTTAATTTAGCTCCAAACACTGTCCTAAGTCCTCATAAGCACAATTTGCTCCTGCAAAACATGAAATTCATAATTAGAGCCATTTTATCGTCATTTAACCTTCCTAGAACGGTGAAGCATAGTCACGTTGGGGCATAAATAGTCGCCAGACTACATGAATCTAGCCTATTATCAGAGAGCTTGAGGAGGCAAAGGAATAGGAAGCTTAAATAGAATTCATGAGTCGGAGTTCTACAGGATCATATTTGAGTTGTATTTGGACTGTGGTATCCAATTCAATTATGTTATTAAAAGTAAGATTCCTATGGAGTTTTGATGGTTATCACATGTACGGATTGCTAATCTAATGCCAAAGTCCAAGTATGAATAATATTGTCTATTGAGATTGAAAATGTAATACTCGTAATCCGGTAACGGGCTTCTTCGCAGAGAGGTGCAACTACCCAAATGCGGAAATTACTCAATCAATCGTCCAAGATTAATGTTTTACCGGTACTTCAAGACTTGTCATTACATTGATCAAATTTACATCTTGACAAGACATGAAGGTGGGGATATTTGTAGACATGTAAATTTTATGGAATTATAATCCATATTAAATTTTGATAAATTCCTAAATTAAGGAAATATCAAGCTCAAACCAAGGTTCAATTATTTAAGTCTAAGATTGGGATTTAAATTAAAACCCAAATTCATTGGGCTAGTCCGTTGAACGAGCCCGCTTCATTAGGCCCAATATGTTATTTTCCTAGAGTCCCAGTTTGGTTCCACATATCAAATGACGTGGCACGACAAGTCAAACGGAAAAGCCAATAGGATCATGCCACATGTCAAACTGACAAGACATGCCAAGTCAAATTAAAAGGCCAATGTGCACCACATGTGCAGTGACATGTTCTGGCCAATCAAATATGGTCTTGTCACTCTTCAAT